ACTAAAGAAAGAAGCAATCTGAAAGTGGGACAAGGATTGCACATCTGCCCTGAAGAGATTGAAGCGGGCTTTGATAGAGTACCCAGTCCTTAAGGTAGCCGATCCGTCCCTACCTTTCGTTGTTACCACTGACGCAAGTCAGTATGGCATAGGTGTTGCTTTACAGCGAGACGATGGCGATGGATATAGGCCCGTAGAGTTCATGTCTGCCAAGATGCCTTTAGAGAAGGTAGCAACATCAACCTATGAGAGGGGACTCTACGCTCTCAGGCAAGCACTAGATCATTGGAAGCACTACTTGCTTGGGAGGCACTTTAAAGTCTATTCAAACCACGAGACACTAAAGTGGTTGAAGACGCAGGCCAAGATGACGCCTAAGCTTACTAGGTGGGCCGTTGAATTAGATCAGTATGACTTCGAACTTAAGCCAGTTAAAGGGAAGTACAATGTAGTTGCGGATGCTCTAAGCAGGAGAGCTGGTTACTTTGGGGCAATAGTTCACTATCTGGATATAGGGAGAGACCTGCAGCAGAAAATTAGAGAAGCATATGCAAAGGACCCTATCTATAATGACCTCCTCACGAGAGTTTAGGAATCCCTAGAGTCTGAACCAGAGTATCGAACTACTGATGGATTGTTACTTGAGAAGACTAATGTAGTTGACCGCCTTTGCATTTCTAACAGTGAGGAAATCCGTAGCCTGATCTTAGGGGAATGCCACGATACAGAGGGACATTTCGGTTGGCAAAAGACACTAGCCAATCTCATGCGTGCGTATATCTGGCCCATAATGAAGGCCGACTGCATAGAGTATGTACGCAGTTGTAAAGTCTGTCAGCGAAACAAGACTACTACGCAAGCCCCTCTTGGTCTTCTCAGACCCTTGCGTATTCCTGATATACCCGGAGATTTTGTATCCATTGACTTTATGGATGCTGGGGTCAAGAGTAGGCATGGCAAAAGTCAAGTCATGGTCATAGTAGATAGATTTAGCAAGTATGCAGTTTTTGTTCCTTAAACTTCCTTTGCCTGCAGAGGCACACACAGACTTAGTAGTTCAGAACTTTTTCGACCATTGGGTCAGTCAGCATGGTATACCGCTGTTGATAGTTAGTGACAGAGATACCAGGTTATGGTTCCAAGTTGTTGATGTCATCCGGCCGTCATCCTGAGACTAACGGCCAGACTGAACAGATGAACAAGCTCCTGCAGCAGGTTCTTAGGATGAGATGCTCCCTAAGGTAGCCAGTGCATATAATAATAGCGTGCACTTATCTACGTGTCGCACTCCCAACGAACTGCACAAGTCTTGTAGACCGCGCAGACCGTTCGAGGGACTTAACCGGGATCAGATTCAGAGGCTACCGCCTGGTACACGAGAGTTTGAGATACAACACGAGAAAGAGATAGCTACCGTAGTTGATAACCTCAGGAAAGCCCAACACAGAATGACAGAGCAAGCTAACAAACACCGTCACGCCTCACAGTTTCAAGTGGGCGACTTAGTCTGGGTCAAATCAAAAGAGTTTGCTCCTGAGGAGAACATCTCACAGAAGTTGTTACCTGCGTATAGAGGATCGTGGCCAGTCCTAGAAGTCAAGGACGGAAAGGATGGACCGTCCTATACTATTGAGATTCCAGCACACCTCCACGCCTACCCAGTGTTCCATGCGTCAAAGGTGTTGCCTTGCGTCACAATTCAACAGTTTCCATCACAGTGATCCATAATCCCTTCAGACATGGATGGAAGATACGACGTTGATGGTACAGTAGGTGAGGACGTTTTCAGAACAGGAGGTAGAGGTCGTCCACAGAAACAGTACAAAGTCAGATTCACATTTCAAGAGGCCGAAGACGACCGCTGGTTCACAGGTACAAAACTTCTTGAGACTGCTCCCGACATAGTCAGAGCCTACGAAAGAGATAAGAAGGGTAAAGGTCCTGCCTTAGACTGAAGTATTCTCGGAGGACCTCAAATTTAGGCTGGCGGGAGTGAAACGGTTTTCACCTATCTGCAGTCACAAATGCGGGCACTAGAGTTCAATCTCCAGACCTTACCTTGCCCATGTACAGTATCGAGTTGACCCCCGAATGTTTGAACCCGTGACCTGTATTTTGGTAGTTGTTGATGTCTGTCGTAGGTCTGTGTAGTTGTAGGGGTTCGATCTGTAGGTCTGTAGAATAGGGGTCACAACTCTGTAGAGGTTGCAGCTGCCACAGTCCTGAAAGGTCAAGGTCGTAGCTGCTATAGTACTCGAAAGGCCACGTCCACAGACTTTCAGAAGGTCCGGAAGTGGCCTTTCGAAGTTGTCTCACGTTTAGTCAGAGGCAAGTAGGCAAGTGGTGAGCCCAACGACGCAGTGCCACTGCGTCGAGTCGGCAGTGCAATCCCTTGCAGTTAGCGATACCGTCCTAGTCAGTCACATCCCAGTCAAGCAAGTACCATGAGGGACTGTGTGCACCATGGGCCCGGTGGAAACGAGTTACAAAAATATAAATCAAGAGGCAGCGCCCAGCCATTCATTGATTCGCTGCATACGCCATGCGGAAGCGCTGCTACAGCGTCTTGTGCGAAGGTGGTCTGAAGGTTCCCCTAAACTGAAGTGGGCCGAAGAGAGAGAGATTGTAGCCATAGCCAGTAGGGTAGAGCGGCCATAGCCGTGATAGGAAGAAGATAGGTCTAGTGTGGTGTGTGGTGGTATTCAGGGTGATCGAGAGTTGAGCATGTGCGAAGGGTGGCATTGGACAAAGTGACAAGGGTGGGATGTACAAACACTTATGCGCCATAGCCTATTGAAGCGAGTTTTGCATCTGAACTGTGTTCTCGTTTCCATATCTCTGAGCTTTGAGTGGGCGCACTGCGCCAAGTGTGAATCACCATCTGTATACATGTATGCTAAGTGGAAAAGAAAGCGAGTCCAATTGCACAAACCCTAAGTTAGGATTAAATGTATATTTCCCTTTAGGGTTTACCCTAGTTAGGGTTTAGGGTTTTGCTCGACCGCACGCACACCGTGAACCCTGTTTGTCCGTAGAAATTTTACGTAGTTAACCTTTCGAGTCCAAGGAAAAAAGTTATTGGATTACATTTTTTTTATTTTCTTCTTTTATATATTTAAATAAATTACCAAGGAATTTTCACTATTTATTTATTAATTTTGGGTTCTGTTGGGATCAGCCCCTTCCACAAACGATACCCGTTTTTCCCGAACAAGGTCTCAAAATGTTGGGAAAAATAAATCGGGCAACTTTGCTTTAGGCGGGCTTCCCCAAATTCCCCACCAATTTTTGGTAATTAGAATAAAACAAAAAAGAGAATTTTTGAAATATTGTTTAAGGAAAAAAAAAATACTTATCTTAGATCCTAACCGTTAGAATTTCCCGCCAAAGGTCTAAAAAAATTGGTCTCGGCGGGAGGGTCGAGTTTGATCCGGGGGTGGTTTGCGCAAAAACGCTCGGATCAAGAGTTATCCCAAAACCCTAATCGCTTGAAATAATCAAAAATGGAAAATAATCAGGTAATCAGCTAATCAGGCTAATTAACCCGTGGCTAATTAGCCTGTGCACCCTCGTTTGATAGGGGAAGGCCGAGGCCTTGGGAGTGTTGTCCCCTCCCCGACAGCGCCAATGTTTGTGAGGGAACCCGGAGAGAGTCGCCTCGTTTGATAGGGGAAGGCCGAGGCCTTGGGAGTGTTGTCCCCTCCCCGACAATAATGAGAAGATCAAGGTCTATCCAACATGCTTTGTTAAGCCGTAAGTTTTATATTATAGAAATTGACAGGAAACACTCTTTACTCAGGGTTGAAGCTCGTTGGGGGTACGAAACGAGCAGTCCGTCGACAACGCAGGGGATTAGTACAACGATGATGAAAGTCAACCAATACAATCCCACAATTTAGTTGGCGAGAAGCAGAAGAATGATACAACAGATCTTAGACGAACTCAATTTTTCAAGTGGTCCAACAGGAAACCAGCCTCCCTCTGAATCCAACTACCCTTGTTCTTCTCTTTTCTGATCTACTAATTCTGACACAAGTAGCGACATGTCCTTCTATGGACGTCCGTCCTAGTGGTAGTCCGGGTCTGCTATTCGCAGTTAGGGTAGCTGTAGGAAATTCGAGTTAGTGCGAGCCTGAAAGTTTCCCGAAATTTACAGGTATGTCCCTCACGAATTTTTCCCACAGGCAGATATCTTGGTTAGCCCTCAGCCAAACAAATTTACGAATCTAACATACCTATGTTACAGCCTCGGGTCGACGGGTCATAGGCTGCAGAATCAGCAAGTCATTGCACTTTGACCAAAAGTGACGACCTACAGCCCACGACTAATCCAGATTTGAGCTGAGTTATTGCAATAGGCTTATAGTGGGCACAGCATTGACTTAAGCAGTGAGTCTCAGCTTACCAAGGGCTCAACAATGTGGTGCGACCTGATCATGCACCTATACAATGAAGGCGCAAGTTTGTACAGAGCATCAAACATAAAGTGTGCCAAGACAAGAAACATTAGCGAAAATTTGAAAATAGTAATGGCAATCGATGTAAGATAATGAAAATCATTCCCCCACCTATGCCAGATAGTCCTTAATCCCCTCTCATCACCTTCGCCCCTTTTTCTTTGCACCTGGTCCTGGATTTGTCAAATGTTGATGCTTGTGACAACTAATCCCTGGACATGAAGTCATGTGGTTGATGCTCCATGAGCGAAGTATCTTGCACTTAGACAAAAAAGGTCCTTGACTCCTCGAAGAGAAGTGCTATTGACTTCCGTCTGGAGCTCCCCATGCTCTGGACTCCATCTTCTCCCAATTCATTGTGCAAATGCGAGGCAGGATGTGGTGGTTCTGATGGACGTGTTGGCTGGCAAAGGACTTGGGTCTTTGAATATTGACAAAAAGGTACAATGGCATGGATGGATGCTTCCTACTTTCCAGATCCCTTTCCTCCACAAGCTTACAGCTGCATTTGGGCATGGGTTCCTTGTCTGTGTGGGTGCACAGGACGCAGCGACGTACAGACCGAATGGAGTGGCCATTCTATGCGCTACAAATTCAGACCGGCCAAGTTATGCCTGCACTGTTAGGGCAGAGACTGATGTGCGAGACTTACAAAATGCAAGAGTAGCAGCGGGCAGTATGTATGGGGTCCCTGTTCTGAATACAGGCCCAACTCCATCTGTTGACGGGGAGGAGATGTGCAAACCGGGGGATCCTTTGCTCTCGCTATCTATGCGTGCGAATAATGATAGTGGTTGTCTCCGGGCATCACAAGCCTCAGAAGATCACTCTAATATCCCAACTCCTCGCAGCATACCACGACAACCAAGCCCCCCTCGTGTGGTACAAGCTCCTGCGCCGCCGCCGCTTCCTCCTCCACGATCAGCAGCCATGGTGGCAACTGCAGCTCCCCCAAAGACACCTCCGTCAGTTGCAACGCCGCTCCCGACAGCCACAGCACCTGCATGCCCTGCACTGGTGCAACTGCCTATAGCTGTCTCTAGTTCCTTGGCACATATGGCTGCCCCGCCGAGGTGAGCAAGGACAGTTACTTCGCCTTGTGCCTGTTATGTTCTCTCTGATAGATTCGTGAGCAAGGACTGTTGTAATGTTTCTTAGGGTGCAGCGTTAATCTGTTTTCTCAATCTAGATTGTAATTGTGGAGATGACAGTGACTGATCTATGAGCAATATTTCAGATAGATAATGCCATAGTCTCCATGACTCTCTAGAGCCTCTCCTCCATTGTGATGAAGGCTAGCTGTCAAACCGATTTGTAATGTCATCTGAAAGGACAGAGAGAAGCATATTGCATTGTTTTGTTGAAAAAACATGAGTAGTGATGGTGAAATTTCTTTCAACTTCTTTGAGAAGACAAGGTGAAGAGCAGTGTTCGTCTGAAGGGACATGCTTTTGCTGCATGCTGGGGTATTATTGATGTGGATGGTGCTCCTGTGGACATAGAAGGTCTGCATGGAAGAAAAAATGTTTGGTGACGAGTTTTATCATTTATTTCAATTTCTTTGAGAAGACAGGGCAACTGAGATGGACTCACCAACCGAAGAATGGCAGCATCTGCACACATTGTCATAGTTGTTTGCTTATGGACCATGTCAATACTGTGCATTATTGACCGTTTGGCGTTTGCGGCGTTAAGCATGATTACAGGTGACCTAACTGTTAACATTGAATATATGCATGATATCTTTGTCGATGCGCACCCTATCTAATAACCATCTCTCCTATCATTTCGCATTTGCCTGGAGCTGTTTTTACACAGCAGTGTTGAGAAGTGTCCTCTCTGGTACTGTGGTACCCTACCTAATAAGTTAGTAATAAACATCTTGCCTGTGGTTTCGCATTTGCCTGGAGCTGTTTTTACACAGCAGTCACGAGCAGTGTTGAAAAGTGTCTTCTCTGGTACTGTGGTACCCTATCTAATAACCATCTCCCCTATGGTTTCGAACTTGCCTGCTGGGTCATGAACTGGAGTCAGGTTTGATACAGATTTGCAGTTCACTCTCTTGCCTTTTTTTTTTTTTTCTCTTTTTTTTTTTTTTTTTTTTTTTTTTTTTTTTTTCTTTCTTCTTTTTTCGCTGCCTTCTGCATGAGGAGGGGGTTCAGGCTTTGAAGCTTCGCCCATGTATTTTTCTGTAATAGCCTCGTTCAACAGGGTTCATAGCGGGAGCTGCATCTGGCTTGTTGCACATTGTTGCGACTCTCAGGCTGATGGTAGAACACTAACAGCATCCGCACATTCGGACTGTCCTGGATGTATTTGTAATTACATCCAGGATCCAGTTGGGAAAGTTGCAGGGTATGTCCCAAGAACCGTCTCAGAAGGATGGGTCTTTTTTTTCACACTTCGGTCTTTTGATCCGTTTATGGCATTCTTTCAAGCGGTTGATGGGTTGAGGGGTAATATGACCTCCTGTCATGGAACTCGGCTCTGCTTGTCCATTTTGTACAGGGCATCATCAATGTCGGCACAGGAGGGGAGACAGAGGGTAGCTCAGCTCACCATTTTCTATGACGGAGTTGTGAATGTATATGACCGTGTCCCAGCCGACAAGGTACGTTGTGCAATTTTTTGTTTCCAGCCTCGCCAAAAGGGTGCTTGGAAGAAATTGAGACCAACCAGCTATCATCTCATGTGAGGGCTCTTATGCCAGTGTGATCTTGCTTGCTAAGACCGGCTTCCTTCCCTGCCAGTCAACACCTTACGGAGAAGTCAATTCGAGCAGTTGAATGCGAGGAGAATTCGAGACATACCTGCAGGACTTGGAGGCAGATTACGGACAAGAGTTGGTGCGAGTTAGTCAAAGGAGTTCATGGAGATGCGGGGAAAAAAAAGCTGCAATTCTGCAGTTGACATGACTGCAGGACAGCCAGCGGCCGAGACTGACCACCATCTGTTTATGCCCGACCAGGAGAGAGAGAGAGAGAGAGAGAGAGAGAGAGAGAGAGAGAGAGAGAGAGAGAGAGATCAGGGACTTGGCAAACTTGACATTTGCTGATGGCGAGTATGGGAACTGCGGACAGGGTATCATTATCCGGTGGTTGCATTGAGTTGCTCCTCTCTTCTTTTTCTTTTCACATTTCCCCTCCTCCCACCTCGATCATCTATGGCCGCACCCATCGGACACGCACCGTGGAGGTCCACGGCGGCCCCCAGGCCGCAGGTTTCGATTACAGGCAGCATTTATTTATTTATTTATTTACTTATTTGTTGTCCTATTTTGTCTGTGCAGACGTCGTTTCAGACTTGCAGGCCCCAAGGCTACGCCTTGGGCTGGGTGCATAGGCGCAGGGTCGTTTTTAGGCCAGGCATTTTTTTGCGCCTTGTTGCATCAGCAGCATGGTCTGGACGCCCGGTAGGGGCCCAGACCGAGTGTGCCGTTCGAAGCCAGCATCAGAGGCATGCCCAGCCAGGCCCAGCGCTACTTAATAGCTGTGCTACTGCTGGGCACACAACACAGTTGGCGTAGCTCACTTCTTGAGCGACACACTGCTGGAGCAGCGGGCAACACAGCGCTGGGTTGGAGTTAGGGGTAGAGGAGTAGATAGGGAGACAGGAGGCCATAACTGCAGCGTTCGAGTACGTACCTGGGCGCCATAGCTGGACTTGGCTCCAGCGACCTGCAGCACAGCGTACGCCGGCGACGTCCGTACTTGGTAGCAGTTACCTGCAGGTGAGACAGTGAGGAGGACGACATCATCTTCTTCTTCTATCTGTTCTCGCCCGCCACCTCTTCTTCCTTCCTTCTTCTTCTTCTTCTTCTTCTTCTTCTTCTTCTTCTTCTTCTTCTTTCAGAGAGAGAGAGAGAGAGAGAGAGAGAGAGAGAGTTACATGCTGCGCCTGCACACGAGGGCCATTTTCCAGGCCCTGCGTCCTTCAGGCTAAAAGCCTGAATTTCAGGCCGAAAGCCTGAAATTTAGGGCCTACAGGCCTCGTGTCTGTTCAGCTCGAAAAGCTGGAAACAGGGGCCTACAGGCCCTGTGTCGTTTCAGACTAAAAACGGCATGAGCCTTTTTAGCGTGAAACTGAGGGCCATTTTCGGGCCCTCATCAGACCGACCTGCCCGGAAACTCAGGCACCAAACCAGGGTTTTAGGAACAGGCTATTTTTGGCCTGTTCCCACGACAGCTGCAGCGCCAGCCCCTGGCTCAGTTCGACATTGGCAAGAGTAGCCTCCTGGACTGCCCGTCCTGCAACTGCAGGCAGTCGGAGGCAGGCCGAGATAGTACACAGGGACTTCCCATGTACTTCACGGGTAGGCAGGAGGCAGTCAGTAGTCTTCAGGATTCGGCAGCAGCACTCTGGAGGAGCGCTGCAGGAGTAGTAGTAGCGTTAGCATTAGTCTTCAGCGCTGGGCGCTAATAGCGTTAGGTGTAGTCTTCAGCGGTGGGCGCTATAGCTAGAGTAGTACTAGAGAGAGAGAGAGATTGGGCGGAGGCCAGGGGTACTTACCTGCAGCACCGTTGCTCCAGCTTCGTCTTGGAGGTACCTGCAGCACAGCACCAACTTCACAGGTTAGTACCTGGCTCATGAGAGAGAGAGAGAGTTCTTCTTCTTCCTCTTCTCAGTCCACCATCTCCTTCTCACCCTCTCGCTATCTGACTTCACTGCATCAGCAGACTACGGGAGAGAGAGAGAGAGAGAGAGAGAGAGAGAGAGAGAGAGAGAGAGAGAGAGAGAGCTTGGTGACATTGGATCCAGACTCGACATGGGACTTCAGANGAGAGAGAGAGAGAGAGAGAGAGAGAGAGAGAGAGAGAGAGAGAGAGAGAGAGAGCTTGGTGACATTGGATCCAGACTCGACATGGGACTTCAGACATTTTGAAGAGGGATTATTTGGGACGTGTAACGAGACTCGGTGTTGACGAATTTCCCATCTTCCCCTTCCTCTTCTTCGTCTGATCCCTTCCTCTTCGTCTGTGTATGTCTGGACCTGGTGCCTCTTTCCTGTGTATAGCGCCAGGCCCCTTCACACTTTGTGATGAGCATGATGTATGTTTGGTCTGCGTTGAAACATTGATTGGGCTAGTCATTATTATTCTAGCATTCTGCTTCGCTATCTTGTACTACGTGAAAGAGGTCAGTCCCGGTCAGGTCAGGATTTGCATCTAAGTCTTCCCTGCGCTATTCAGCACCATTTTGTATGTATCGGAATGCACATTGCTTGTTGAGATTCTACTTGCACTGCATTGTCCATTCAGTCCTTTTCATCACATTGCCGATCCTCGGTTATTATGTACATCGCCCATCTGGGCATGTAACAGAGAGAGAGAGAGTTCAGGCAGAGGCTTCGCGGGCATGCACCCAGGATCTGATTCAACATTTTTCCGGCAGACATTGATTGGACACTCGGCAAGGGACTATTTTTTCGGACTTCGCTATCGCAATCTTGGTCTTCTCCTTCGCTTCCATCTCCGTCTCGCCTCCCCCCCATCTCTCGTCTGTGGTATGTCCCCCCATGTGCGTGTCCAAGGAGGGACCGTTCTTCCATGTACGAGGTCCCTCCTCCCTCTCTCACGTGTGGTGTATGATGGGGTGTTGCGTCAGTATCTGACAGGTCAGGTCATATCTTTGAGTCTTTCGTTGGCTACATTGTGTTATGTTCATATGTATCTGGATGTACATTGCTTGTTGATGCTTGGCTGACACTGCGTTGTCCATACGAGTCCTTTTCATCACTTTGCGGATCCTTGGCTCCCATACATCACCCAATTGGGCATGTATCAGTTGGTATCGGAGCTGCGCTTGTGGACTCCCAGATTATCTATTGATCAATCAACCCGATCGACCGATCGATTGATTGATTGATTGATTGAGTGGTTGGTTAATTAGGGTTGATTGATTGATTGATTGGCTGGTTGGTTAATTAGGATTGATTGATTGGTTGATTGATTGATTGATTTATTGATTAGCGATTGATTGATTGACTAATTGATTGATTGATTGATTGATCAATTATTTATTTCCTTATTATCACAACTCTGCCTAGTTGTCATTTCGAATTCTTTTTCAGAAATCGGAACTCCTTGTTTTGCGCAAAATTCGTCAATACGAAATCAAAAACTTCTATAAGGAACATGAGTGTGAACGAAGTACAGAAAATCCAAACTGCAAATCACCCTGAAGTCCATGTAGTTAAGCAAAGAGCAGATAGCACATTGCAACCAAGAAACCATTCATTGAGAACGATACAGCAGAATCGAGAGTCAATGTTCAAGCCTGAAGGGCCACACCAACATCAGAACCCAATGTAGCTCTCACTTCGAATGGCACCGGGCGCCCTATCTACTCTACAGCCTATCCCTACAACTACAGCATGACGCGACCAGGATGACTTGAAGACAAGCGTGCTTGACGTCAACACCAATGCCAACCTCCTCTCGCACACCAGGTAAGTACTCCCTCGCTCCACTCTTCTCTTCCCTGACTCCCACTCATCGTCTCCTCCTTCCAAAGACCACCTTCGCCCTCACCTCCTTCTGCGCCCTCCTGCAGCCCGGCTATGGCTGCCAGCGCCTTGCACCCCAGCTGCGCCCTACCGCTTAGCGCCAGCCAGCTTTCTCTCAGCCAGAGCATAGCGCAAGCACCCGTGCTACAATGCAGCAGCGTGCCCGCAATACCTGCATTGGCCAAGATCCCTGCCCTTTCGCACATTCTACCTCTATGCCTTGCTGCGTGTGGGCGGCCTCCCTTGAGCCTGCGTCTGGGCCCAGGCCCAATCACAGGTGGGGCCCAGGTAATACAGTTGCGCCCCTTATGCCAGGGCCATCGTACAGATTCAGACCCCGTTCCGGTTTCCCATTGGTTCGCCCGGCCTCTACGACACAATGCTGCTTTTCCATAGGCCAGCATCCAATGTGTGATGTGTCGGCCTCCCAGACTGGTGCCCAGGGCTCAACCAACTGAGGCCCTGGCCTTAACTGCCTCTGCAGGAGTTTGGGCTCACGATGCACTCCAACCAACTGGCGCGCGGCAACCGTCTGATACCCACTTCGTGAAATGCTGAAAGGACGGCCTCTTGTGGATATTCTGGTCCGCCTTCACTTAGGGCGGGCACAAGGCTTGTTGGAGGCCTTAGCCCAGAACATATGCATGTTGGTAACGCCGCAATGAGGGCTCAATCCTCACATTCCATCCCCCTTAGCTTTGAAAGTCCACTGAGATGCTTACTTCGCAGGTGCCTTCCCCTTTTAACTTTCTTTCATATTCAGCCACCACCTGAGGTGCTGTGTCAATCAGTTCCTCTCTGGCGAACCATCGATCTTCTTTCGGATCTGTGTGATGCCTGAATCTGACCCTGTACTCTCTCTTGGGTCTTGGAGGTCTTCCTCTACCCAGCGGTCTTGGAACAGGCATGTCTCTGTGTTCCAGAATGTCGTCGATGTCCACGTGGTAGTCCATGGTTGGGGGCAACTTTGATCTCCTGGATGGAAACTGAGCTGTCTCAGCGAAAGGTGCAAGCTTTGAGGCGTGAAAGACAGGGTAAGTTCGCAGGTGACCAGGGATTCGAATAACGTAGGAGGGACCATCCAAATCATCCCCAACTACATCCAA